CTCATTCCCGTTGACCTTGAGAAAGTGTGAGACCGGGGTGGTCGGCAAGAAAATGGGTCAAGAGCTGCTGTCCACTGAGGAGCAGGGGAAGGGCAGAGGTGGGGGCTGGCCCAGGCTGGCATGGGCCAGGGGGCTGGGTGGGCACGGGGAGGAGGCAGCCGGTGGCCCTGGAAATCCTGAGAACTGTGGATGAGCGGGCAGTTCCCAGTGCCCAGCCCGGAGCTGGAGGTGGGCGGGGCTGGGCGGGCGGGCTCACCTCCGCCTTCACCAGGGTGTAGCAGGACGGGCACTCCTGGCACCGCGCCCTGTCGGCCGTGAGGAAGAAGTTCTCCTGGCAGCGGTCACACTTGTAGCCCACGAAGCCGGGCCTGCACACGCACGTGCTGTTCTCGTGGCATTGGGGCGAGGCGGAGCCCAGCGGGGAGCACCTGCAGGCTGCGGGGTGGGTGCAGGTGGGGGGTGGGAGGTGGGGAGGACAGGCAGATGGCACTGAGTGTCCTGAGAGCCACCCACACTGGAGTCCCAGCCCCTGCAGCCTCACACCTGGCTGCTCCAGACACCCCTGGGCAGCTCAAGGACACTCCCGGGTCCTTCCCCGGAGACCGGGTCAGAGGTCAAAGGTGATGACCGAGATGCCGACTTGTTTCCGAGTTCCGGCATCCGAGGAACTGCCACGCAATCTAACTGCACAAGCGAGGAAGCCGAGGCCCAGAGAGGTGAGGCATGGGTCTGTCCACAGGATCCCGGCCCCTCGGCACCCTCTGCTCACGCACTGCGCGTCTGCTCTGAGACCTGCCTGGGTCTGACCTCTCTCTCCTGCGGCACAGCCACCTTCCCCATGAAACCCCAGGCCACACCCTCCAGGGAGCCAGGAAGGACCCGGCTTCCTTACCCCGGCAGCCCTTGATGGAGAAGCCGAAGAAACCCAGCTGGCATCTGTCACAGGCCTGGCCCTCGACGCCCGGGCGGCAGGGGCACTGCCCAGTCTCGGGGTGGCACTGGTTCTCCTGGGAGCCCAGCAGGTGGCACGTACAGCTGTGACAGGGAGGGACCCGGTGTGAGTGAGCTCGGGGCCACTCCCAGCCCAGCTGCCGCTGCTGCCGCTGGGGAGGGGCCTTGGGACCGCGCCCTCTGCTCCCGAGGTCCTATCTCCATGTCGGTCCATGTCCAACAGCTTCCCCTGAGCTGCGCCCGGGGAGGCAGCCCCACACATACACAATGGCTGCGGGGACATATGCCCCTTGGAGACTATGCCCCTATGGAAAGTCACGAGGCACTCAGCATAGTAAAGGCCCTGAGAAGTCACGTAAAGCAGAACTCTGCTTGCTTCCCTGGGCATTCCCTGGAGTCCACTGCTCCCCAAAGGCACTGCCTGAGGTGCTGCTGTGGCCAAAATGTCACCGAGCGACGTGTCACTGAGAAGGGAATCCGACACCAAACCGGCCCCCTGCCCACCTGGACATCCCTTAGGAATGCTCTTGGCCTGCATCCTGGGCTGGCAGGGCCGTGAATCTGACCCCCAAGGGACTGTCCCTTTGTCCCCCTTCAGGGTAGGACACTGTGTACCTGGCAATGGGCCTGGGATGCACATTCCAAGCCAGGCCCCTCTCTGGGGGCCCCCTGCTGCTTCCTTCCACTGTGGGGGACCTAGGGGCAGTGCACCCACAGCCTCACCCCACCCACCTCCGGCAGCCCCTCCCGGGCTGGAGGTCGTAGAAGCCTGGGCTGCAGCGGCCGCAGTCCCGTCCGGTGACGTGAGGCAGGCAGGCGCACTGGCCGCTCACCGGGTCGCAGGGTCTCCGCGCACTGACCGAGCCCCCGGGGTTGCAGCTGCAGGCTGGGGGTGGGAGCAGGAGAGGGAGTCGGGAAACCATGTAGATCATCCGCCCAAGCTCCGGGGTCCAGGAGGTGCAGGGAAGACGGGCAGCCCGTGGAGATGGCTCAGTCAGCTGCTCTGACAGGAGGCTCGAGGGCCAGGCTCCCATCGCAGCCCATTTGCGATCTACCCTTGGAGAGGTGGCCCCGGGCCCTGTGAGCCTGCCCTGGGCCCCGCAGGCTAGAGAGAAGCCAGAGGCTCAGTAGCAGGTGACAGGCAGCCAGACCCCTGGATCCGCTCTTTGGGACTCGACCCAGCTCCCCTGGGCCCCACAAAACAAGAGGCCAGTAGAGAGCTGACAAGTGCCACTTGGAGAAAGGGCCCAGGAGCAAGTTTGGGGCAAACCCTGAGCAACTCCCTGCAGCGCTCTGGAGCCTTCCCCGGGTGGTGTGCACCTCGGCCCTCTGAGCGGGGGCCCGGGCTGCGTGTTAACCAGGCAGTAGGAGGGAAGGAAGCACAGTGCAGCCAGAAGGCACAGCCCGGCTGGGCCCAGGGGCGGGGGAATGTGACAGGTGACAGGCGCCGAGGCCATCGGGACAGTCCCCTGAGCTCCCTGTGGAGAGGGAGCTGAGCGCTAATGACCGAGGCAGGAGGAAAATCACAGGGCAGAGCTGACCAGATCCCCAGGCTGAGGGAGAGCGTGGAGAAGAACAAACCCTCTCACTTTCCGGACAAGAAACAGAGAAGGCGAGGAACCGGCTGAGGCTGCACAGCCTCGCGGAGTGGCGGCTGGCCAGGAGGTGGGACTCACACACACACTTGTCCACGGGCCGCGGGGCCAGCGCGCTGCCGTAGAAGCCGTCCTGACAGCGCTCGCAGCGAGCACCTGTCGTGTTGAACAGGCAACGCAGGCAGTGGCCAGACAGGGGGTCGCAGTTGCCCACGGCGTTGGGGTCCACGTTCCCACTGCACTGGCACCGCCGACAGGGCTGGGGGTCCCCAGAGAGCCCCAGCGGGTCCCCAAAGAAGCCATCGTCACAGGTCTCACAGCGCCGTCCTAGGGGAAGAAAAGGCCTGTGTGGAGGAGCAGGGACGAGGAAGGCCAGCCTGCCGGGTCCACAGGGGTGAGGGTGGGCTCCGGGGTCAGCTGACCTGGGGCGGGGCCTAGCTCAGCCGGCAGCTGGCTGTGCGGTCTTGGGCAAGTCACTGTGCGTCTCTGAACTCGGGGTCCTCATCTGCACAGTGGGGCGGGACTATTGAGAAGTTTGGGGAGATCACTTGTGCAGAGCTCCTAGCACAGGGCCCGGCACGGTAAACGGTCAACAGCAGTGGCTGACATCTATTCCCCATCACCTTGTCGTCATCACCGTCCTCCTCACCAGCACCTTGGCCATCATCTTCACCACCACCATCATCACCATCTTGATCAGTCTCTTCATCATCATCCATGAACTTCATCTTGATCAGCACCCCCTTCCCTTCCTTAGCAGCAGCATCTTCATCACCATCTTGTCCCCTTCGTCATCATCATCTTCATCACCATCTTGACCAACAGTCACTTCACTGTCTTCATTTTCATCTTGATCATTACCTTTGTCATCATCATCATCATCCATCGTCTTCATCGTCATCTTGATCATTATCTTCTTCATCATCTTCATCTTCATCTTCATCACTGTCTTCCCCGTCACTCTCTGCATCATCTTCCTTGTCACCATCTTCAGTGTTGCTGCCACCCTCTTCCTCGTCCTCCTCTCCCTCACGTCCCACCTGAGCTTGGCTGCTTCCTCGTTGCGGTTCCTGCTCCCATTACCTCTCTTGCTTTCCGGGGTCCTGACCTTCCTCTGGACGGCTGATTTCCGGCTCCTGCCCTGCCTCCGGGGCTTGAATTGGGGTTGCTGCCCCACCTCCCAGGCCTCAGGGTCCCTGGGAGTCTCAGGAAAGGTGGTGCCTGAGGAGGCTTTTGGCGGGTTGTGACCTGGGAGGTCCACTCTGGACACAGATGGGAATAAAGGAACGTCCACGTCCCCCTCTTGTATATGTCTGCGTGAGACAGACGGCGGGGGACCCACAGACCTCACAGTCCCACGGTCCCCTGGGGGCGGCGGGACGACGGGCACACGGTCTTCTTGCCGCCTGCCCGTTATGTTCCTCTTTACGCGTTTACGGGCGGGTTCAATCGCGACAATGCGCATTACTCGCTTTATGATTTAATTAACAGCCACTGTCACCGCGAAAGAGAGTCCCCGTGTCCTCAGTGCTCATCGTTCAGATGGAGTCAAGCTAACACGACTAAGGCAGGCAACCTTGAAAATGGAGAGGAGGAATACTAAGACAGAAAAGAAAAAATGGGAAGAGAGGGGTCTGAGCGGAGCTCAGGGGAGACGCAGGTGCCTGGCCCCGGGACTCTGAGAGAGACAAGAAGTAAGGCGGGCAGGAGGAGATGGAAGCTGGTGGTGAAGGCCGAGGCCCCGCAGGTAACCAGCCATTCGCTTGGACCTGGGAGAGGACAGCTCCCAGGGCAGGAGGCCGCTGTGAGGTCCGGGAAGGAGGCCGCGGGGTCAGGATGAAAATACACAAAGAAGAAGTAAAAGAAGTTCTGGAGAAGGAAGGGGTGATGGTTGGACAGCAATATGAGAGCAGTTAATGCCACTGAACTGTCCACTTAAAAATGCTTAAGCCCGACCGGCGTGGCTCAGTGGCTGAGCATCGACCTATGAACCAGGAGGTCACGGTTCAAATCCCGGTCAGGGGACATGCCCAGGTTGGGGGCTTGATCCCCAATAGGGGGAGTGCAGGAGGCAGCCCATCCATGATTCTCTCTCATCATTGATGTTTCTATCTCGCGCTCCCTCTCCTTTCCTCTCTCTCTAAAATAAAATTAATAAAAACATATTTTAAAAAAATGCTTAACATGGCAAATTTTATGCTACATATGTTGCCATAATTTGAAAAAATTAATAACAGAATAAACCAAAAAAGTCTTGCGTTGTGCACTTGAAGTGGGTGAATCGCAGGGCGCGTGAGTGCTATCCCAGCAAAGCTGGTTAAAAACGCGGATGTGCAGGGCGGGCTGCGTCCGCGTGGGAATGAGGATCGGGAGAGGCTGGCATTTTCTAAAAGCTGAGCGTTCTTTTTGTTTTGTTAATCCTCACCCGAGCATATGTTTTTCCATTGATTTCTTTCAGAGAGATTGGAAAGGAGGGAGGGAGGAGGAGAGAGAGAGAGAAAGAGAGACAGACTTGGATGTGAGAGAGACCCATCAATTGGTTGCTTCCCGCACAGGCCCCGACCAGGGCCAGGGATTGAACCCACAACCCAGGTACATGCCTTTGACCAGGAATCAAACCTGAGACCTTATGGTTCTCAGGCAGATGCTCTAACCACTGTGCACCAACCAGGGCTAAAGGCTGCAAGTACAACCAGAGGTTTTCTGCCTTGACGCACCTGCCAGGGAACTCAGGAATACAGACTTCTGAGCTGCATCCCTCGCTAGGCCAGGCTCTGTGGGGCCTGGGCCCAGACATGGGATTTTCACAATCTCACCTGGATATGCTCGATGGCCCAAGTTCTGCTGGGAACCCACAGCAGCTGGGCCCTGACTCAGTGTCCCCAGAGGTCAAGCCTGCCACCCCGAAGCCGGCCCTCCCTCATCTGCCCCACTCCATACCCAGGACCCCACTCCGGGAGCCCAGGCAGGGGCAGGATCCAGGGCACCAGCCACTCACCTTTCTGGCCCGCGGGACAGTGGGTACACACCACCTCCCTGCTCTCTGGGATGGTCGTGCAGGACGACTGTCCAGGGCACGGGCAAGGCTGGCAGTCGTCGGCTCGGCCTGCAAAGGGGTTGCCATAGAAACCTGGCAAGCAGCGCTCACAGGACGGGCCCTCGGTGTGGTGGCCGCACTGGCAGATCCCTGAGGGACAAGATAAGCACCTGTTTAGCACTGTCTGAGCCAAGAAAACTCCAGAGACAGGGAGCGGGCTCCTGGTGGCGGGGGTCACAGAGCACGTCCCAGCAGAACAGGGGGAGCCTTCCAAGGAGGCAGCAGGGCCCGGGGATGAAGAGTCCACCTCGGGTTCACGTCCACTGAGTGAACCTGCGCCAACAGTCTAACTGAGGACACCTCAGTGTCCCCATCTGCAAAATGGGTACAACAACCTCCACTGGGCTCTGACCTCGAAGGTTTCCACCAGGATTTAGTGCAGCCGGAGTGCTCTGCGCAGTCCCTGGCACGCAGAATTATTATCAGTTATCATTCGTATATTCTATTCCCAAACCTCTAACCGAAGCAGCAGGCAGCACAGCTAACGACTCCGCGCAGTTTTCCTTTTCCCATCCTCCGTGCCCTCCTAACTGCAGGGGCCCAATGGGACAGCGACAGACCCAGAATTCTGGTTGTGACATGAGGCTCCGTTTATGGGGTCTGTGGGTCCTCAGTGGCCCCCGGCCCACAGGTTTCTGGTGGTGGGGGATTCTGCAAACCCCTTCTCCAGCCCACAGCACCTGGAGTCTGCTCAGAGTGGGGGACTCTGGGGACAGAGGCGCCGGCCAGGGACTGGGCCAGGAGCCTGGTTGGCAAGACTGCCACAGGGGAAAGAGGGAACTGGGTAGAGGTGGAGGGGGGGATCCAAAGGGAACCATCACGCCTGCCCTGTTCTCTACCGGTCCTGCCTTGGCCCAGCACCCACACGCTCATAACGCCTCCTTCTGTCCAGGGTGCATAGCAATGGCCCCGCCCACTGGACACACGAGGACTTGCTGGGCAGGAAGGCGTGGCACGGCCAGGGGATCTGAGGGATGACAGGTTGGTCCCATCTCATGAGTGGGCTCTGCTTCCTCGGTAGGGGCTGCCTGGAGCATTGCAGGGAGGGATTACGAGCCCCCATCTGGGCTCGATTGGTGATGCCTGCCACGGGCACAAGCGGGCGGAGGCGCCTATGCTGTATGTGCATCCTCCTGGCCAATCTGCTGATTCCCAGGCGCCTGTCCTCTGTCAGCTCCCGACGGGGCCTGCGGAAAGCTGAGCAGGGGCTTCCCTTCTGAGACCCTGCCTGCTCCCGGGCAGCAGCAGGGCGCTGGCCCCCCACGACCTGTGTGAGAGGCCTGTGTCCAGCCCTGTCCAGCACCTCCTGCCCAGTGACCTCCAGGGAGGTCCTTCTGGGTTTCCTCTCTGGTCAATGGGGAGGAACCGCAGGCAGTGAGCTTGTGGGAGGAGCCGCTCTGCCACCTACTGGCCATGTGGCCTCCCTGCGCCTTAGGCCCCTCACCAGGTAGAGGTGACCCTGTAGGCCCTGGCATGCGGGGGGATTTTGCAGGATTCAGTGATGTGGTGGCTAACACGGTGCCCAGAGCGTGGAGGGCCTCGGCGACTCACCTGATTGGCACTGTGTTCGGAGGGCACCGACCCAGCACACAGCCGACCCGCTCTGGGTGCAGCCCCGACCGGGTGCCGGGACACTCACCTGTGTTAGGGTCACAGGTGCCGTGCTGGTTGCAGGTGCAGGGGACACAGTTGGCATAGGGACCCCCCCGGGGTGTCTCCCTCTTGTAACCCGGAGCACAGGCTTCACAGAACTGGCCCACGTATCCCTGGGGACAGGAGCAAGTCTCCACCCACGAGGCCGGCGGGGAGAGGCCGCGCTGGGCCGACAGGAGCCGGACCTCTCTCAGGAGCACTTGGCCTGGGAGCGAAGGCGGGGGGAGAGAGAGAGAGAGAGAGAGAAAGGGAAATGTTTCTCCCCCAAACCTTCCTATTCACACACGTGACAGGCTGAGGGTTATTGCCCATGATATAGAGGCAGCCCATGGCTCATTTATCATTTTTTAAAAACAGTCAAATAAAGAGCAAAGGAAAACGAGGCCATTTTCAGGACGAGCAGTCGATGTAACTGGAAACGTTACGGGCGGACGTCCTCTCTCGGGGGTCATGAAAGATGCACATTAAACAGCGATGGTGCCGCCCGCCGCCCGCAGCTTGTTAGGCATTTAAAAACCGACGGGGCGAGGAGCAGCCGCGTGTGAACATAAATCAGGAGGCGCTGCTTCTGGCAGCGGAGGGGCTCCCGTCAGACCCTCCTTCCTACGGAAACAACCGGAATCTCTGGGCAGAATATGACAACAGGGCCCCGGGAACGCTGGCGAACCCACGGAGGGCGGAGCGTGCAGGACACTCGTCATCGGAACGTGGGGCGCAGCCTTCCTGGTGGGAAATGTGGCGGCACATGTAACACGTAACACGTGCCCCTGCGGCCTCACATTTCCGCTTTGGGGGGTCCGTCCCGAGGACACACGTGGGCGAGGACACGAAGCCCGGACGGGCCGCTCTGTCCTGGTCCTGCAGCCCTGCGTGCGGGGCGGGAACCGGAAACCAGTCCTCGGCTGCAAACGGGGCTGCTTGAACTTCGTGGAGCATCTGGGCCACGGAACGGTCCACGTGCCCACAGACGGGCAGGCTCTCCCACGGGTGATGACAGAGATCAACCCGCCAGACACGGCGAGAGCTGCAAACAGCAGGCTGCCAGGTGCTGTACTGTGCGACCCTATTTCTACATTTAAAAGGTCAGACTAAGTCATGCCCATGGAAGGGCCTGGAGGGAGGTGCCCTGAACGTTACCCGTGGGAAGGGGGAGCTCGGGGGCGGGTGGATGGAGGGTCAGGGTGTCCACCTGCCTCTCCAGTTCGCCCCCAGCACCCAGCACAGCTGGCTACGTGGGTGCCTGTAAGTGTCTGCTGACTGGAGGCTGAGTGAATGACGGAGGCGCTGGAAGCTGCTGGAAAGGGTGAAAATGAACTTCCTGCCAGGAGCCTCAGCGAGGGGGCCTGGGAGTGACCTGGGAGCAGGGGAGCTTTGGGGGGGTCTGGGGGTGAAGGCAAGCCAACCACAGCTGCAAAGAGAAGGAGCTGCACCAGGCTGGGTTCCAGCCCCAAGCCTCGGACTCAGAGAGGAGGGAGGGCTGGCCTCGAAGGAGCCCATCAGCCCCTGGGCGCAAGTCTGGGGGTTCTGTCACGCAGGGGGCCCCTCGCAGCGGTGACCCTGGACCATGTGCTGGCACCAGCGGCTCTCAGCTGCCTCCCTGGCCACGCACCTGTCGCTCCGAGCCACTATCCTCAGGCCCGACCTGCCCGGCCCCGGCCCCTGCCCTCAGCACCCACGTCTGCCCACTGGTTCCATGGTTCCAAGGTCCCGACCTCTCTGGGCCTCAGACTCCTTCGTGGTGAAATGGGGACAATAACCATGACCCCACGTGGGGACAATGCCTGAGGACTCCACACGGGAGCCGGGCCCAGCTGCCCCCTTATCATCACTGACCGGACGGGCTGGGGCGGGTCCGCACGCGCAGAGCCGTCAGGTTGGCGAGCAGCCGCTGGAAGTGGAAGGCGGGCAGCGGGGGGTCCGCGTCCTCCGAGGTCTCCTGCAGCCTGGTGGGGAGTGGGGGGGTGAAACCAGAACCTGAGGCGGGCTGCTGGGGCTCCCGGCATGCCTGGGCCTCAGGGTCACCTGACCACCGGCCCCTCTCAGGACAGAGCAGGACACTTACTGGAACTCGAGCTGCACCTCCCTGGGCTGCGCGGCGTCCTGGGGGCCCGACAGGCGGGAGTAGGGCAGGGTCAGGGCCAGGCCGGCCCCTTCCAGCCTCAGCTGCACAGGGAGGGGGGAGCCCCCGGGAGGGACCCGGAAGGTCAGGGTGAGGGGCTGCCCATAGCTGAACCGCTGGTCGCCCAGGAACTTCTCTGAAGACAAGAGAGGAAGGCTGTGACCGTCTCCACTTAATTAGCCTGATCTTAAATGTCTGCTGGTTTTACTGGCAACTAAACATCCAGACAAGATAAATCGACAGCAGAAGGAAAGCAGAGGCCCCTGCACAGCAGGTGCTCAGGCGGCTCGGCCACACCTGCGGCCACACCTGGGCTAGTGCCTGCGGTCACTGTCCTGACCTCCTCTGTGCGGTCACACGTCTGACCGGGGGTCTCGCAGGTGAGTCCGTGGGACAGAGGAGTGTGTGTGGGAGCAGAGGACACGTAGAGGCACCTGCCACTCGCCCCAGGCAGAGCCACGCGGACCACATGCGTCAGATGGAGTGGGACTCAGAGCGAGGACCAGCGACGCGTGTCACGTGGGGGACTGAGCAGGTGCCGACGGCCCCCAGAGGCCACGCTTTCCACTGGAGTCGGAAGGCGCTTCCAGCGGAAAGAGGCAGTGGCATCCAAGGCACATGAAGGACCAGGACCCAGCGCTGCCTTCCTTCCCTGGCCAGCGCTCCGGGTGAGCTGAGGCTGGAGTCACGGAAGGACAGGGGTTAGGGTTCAAAACAATCTAGAATTCTTGCTTCTGCAGGAATCCCACGGCTCTGGCATGGGGTGCAGTGCCTGGGGCGGGGGGTGAGGGGCTGATGGGAAGAATGCAGGGACTTCCTGGGGAGTGACAGTGGCCTGAAGGAGCCCCGGGTGGCATTGCTATGACCGGGAAGCAGGGGGCTCCAGCCCACGCCATAGGGCACGTGGTCGGCAGAAAACGAGCCCTCAGGATGTCTGGGTCCTAACCCCCAGCACCGTGAGTGAGTACGTTATGCTGCATTGTGGGGGGGTGGGCTGGGGGGAGGTGCAGTTAAGGTGGCCGGTGGAGATCAGGCTGTTAATCAGTGGCCTGTAAGTAGAGATGAACATGGATTACCCAGCTGGGCACCACATGGTCACAGGGTCCTTAAAAGATGGAAGAGGAAGGCAGAGGGGTGGGCGTCAGAGCGATGGGAAACGAGGAAGCGGACCAGCCCTGAAGGCGGAGGCAGAGGCCGCACTAAGGATCACAGTGGCCTTGGAAGCCGGAAGCCGGAGGCGGGCGCGGATTCCCTCGGAGGCCTCTGGGGACGCACTCTGCCCACACCTCCATCAGCCCAGAGATCCCTCCAGACTCCCGTCCGGAACACCGAGAGGCAAACTTGTGCTGTTTCCAGCCACCGCGCTGGTGGCCATGTGTCTGAGCAGCGACAGGAAACACGCCCCAGCGTCCTGCTGCCTGTGGCTGGAGGTACCTGGTGCTGTGAGCTCCTCCTCGGCTTCGGGGTTCAGCAGGAGGCCCCTGGGGCTCCACCGTGCGGGCCGCTCTGGCTCCCCTGCGCTGCCGGCCCGCCAGCCGTCGGCTCCTGGACAGCAACACACACGCAGGCCCCGTGAGACGCTGGAGGGCGGCCTCCACCCCCTCCAACCTCACAGCTTTCCTGGGGCCTAAGGATGCTGCCAGAGGCCTGCGCTCAGGGGAGAGGCGGTGCTGGCGACAGGCCCGGTGCAGGTGAGAGCTGGTGCGGCAACGGCTTGTGCCCACAGCCGGTGGCTCACATCCCCATCCCAGAGCCAGGGCGGGCTGTTAGGCTGGGAGGCAGCCCCAGAAGAAGCTAGAAAGCCCAGGACCTGGCCCTGGTTGGGGTGTGATCAGAGCTCTGGGCCTGCCCCTCCGCAGGCTTTGAGCAACATGAAGACACAACCCACAGACCCCGACGTGGGGGGTTGGGACAGCAGAGACCTTCCTGGCCGGCGCCCTCCCGGCCCCTGCCCTTCGTGGGGCGTGTGTCATGAGCTCCCTGCACCCGGGGAGGCTACCTGGTTAGGAAGCCGTCAAGCGTGAATGGGAATCCAGCCTCTGGTCCCGTCCCAGCCCAGTCCCCACTCGCCCTGGGAACGGCAGTGTAGCTGTCACACCACCCACAGTCTAGCACAGAGCAAGTGACCCAGGGGGCCAGGGGGGATGGGGTGGAGGCCCAACACCTGGGGCACCTGAAGGGTGAGGAGGGAGGGATGAAGAAAGGGAAAAAAGTCAGAAAGGGGAGGTTCTGCACCTCCCTGGCTGTGTGACCCTGGGCAAGTGACTTAACCTCTCTGAAGTCGTTTCCTCATCTGCAAATTGGGGGCAATGACATACTTATGGTCCCAGCAGCAATCCTCAGCGTTTGTATGAATACCCTGGGAGATCCCAGAGACTCTGAGGGGGTCCATGAGGTCACACTGTCTTCCTACTAACACTAAGATGTATTTGTATTCTCCATTCTCTCTCTCTCACAAGCAGAGTGGAGTTTTCCAGAAGCCACAAGACATGTGACATCACAACAGACAAAGGCAGAGCCGTGGTGAGAACCAGCCGACTTCTGTGAAGCCAGACCGCAGGAAGATGTGCAGAAATGGAGAACGAGGGGCGCTCTCTCACAAAGTTAGTCTTTTAAAAAGTTACTTCTGCCCTCGCCTGTTTAGCTCAATGGGTAGAGCATCGGCCTGTGGACTGAAGGGTCCGGGTTCAATTCTGTTCAAGGGCACATGCCTGGGTTGCAGGCTCGATCCCCAGTAGGGGGTGTGCAGGAGGCAGCCGATCCATGATTCTCTCTCATCAGTGATGTTTCTATCTCCCTCCCCCTTCCTCTCTGAAATCAATAAAAATATATATTTTTTAAAAGTCACTTCTCCCAGGTGGACGTCATTTTTTATTGTACATTTACTATCATTGTTTTTAATAATAGATACTTTCAAATTACTGCTTTCATTTCTAATACAGAAAATATCCACATACACAACCCACATGAATAAAAGTGTTTTGAGGGCCTCAATGATGTCCAAGAGCATACAGGAACTCGGAGACCAAAAAGGTTGAGAACTTCTGTCCGAGGGTGATGGTGAGATAATGGGATGAACCCAGGGCCTCGCTTAAAGTGAGGACAGACAGTGACTGTTCTTAGGAGCTAAACCAGGGGTCCCGGGGGAGGCCAACATCCCAGACTCCTGTGCCCCATCCCAAGCCCCTCTCTGTCCTGCTTTCTGCGCGGCGTCCAGCAGAGGGCGCACTGCCCCCACGCCTGGGGCGCCCCGGAGCCAGTGCCTGAGTTTCTGTCTCTGACTGACACTCTCTTCCTCCCTGGGGGAGATATAGGTCCCCCCGCCCCGCTCCCACCCCCGCACCTCCTGGCCCAGTGCTCCCCCCCCCCCCCTGAGAACAGCTGGGGTCCCCCCAGGCTGGGATTTAATGCAGAGTTCAGAGCTCTGACCTTTCCTGCTCCAAAGAGGACCTGTGCCACCTGGATTGGGGGCCTAGGCCACCAGGAGCCCCTGGACCCTGGACCCTGGGCCCAGAGACCTGCACAGCGGTTTTGAGAGACAAACTCAGACGCTGGCAAACCCTGGTGCCAACAACTATGTTCTGTCACCTACCTCTTCCGGGCCTCAGGTGCCTCATCTTTCAAAATGGGAATGAGAGCACCTGCCTGCGGGGGACGCCGTGAGGTTCCCTGCATGTAGAGAGCACACGGCCTGGCATACAGCAGGTGCTCAATAAATGCAGGCAAGGAGCTTGAGCTAAATCCCCAGCACTGGGCTATACCGAGGCAGGCCAATCTTGACCTGGAGTGATTGCAAATTCCCCCACAGGATCCGAAGGCTGCCTTATACCCGACCTTGCCCACGAGTATAAGGGATGCTGGAGGCTGAGGAAAAGGCAGGGCCGAGAGGGAGCAGAGGGGTGCAGGGAGGCACTGGGAGTACCGGTGGGCACAGAGGGACCCACCTTGCATGGCTGGCATGGGTGCCTGCGGGGGGCGTCTGGGCTGGGCCAGAGGCTGCCCCTCCTCCCTCTCCACCCTCCCACCACTGCAGGATCGCCCAGAGCAGGGTGGCCGCCCACCGGGGCTGGGAGAGGCCCCTCGGAGGCGGCTCTGGGGGCTCTTCTTACCCAGGCAGAAGTCGGAGAGGATGTGGTGGCCCGGAACCGGGCAGCGGCTGCACACACCTTGGGAGTGGCCGTAGCAGAAAGCAGCTGCTGCAGCCGGCTGGGTTGTGGGGCTGCAGGTTAAAGGTCCCCTGGGCGACATCTGAAATGGAAGCAGGCCATGCCCACGGGGCCGGGTGAATGGCTAGGCTCGGGGATCCCAGCTGGACTCATGCAAGTCCAGAACCCTGGGGATACGTAAACAAATTGTTTTCCGGATTTACGGAAGATTTCAAATTCTAGTACAGAAGTCCCGTGGCTGCTTCCGCCAGCTTCCCCGATGGCCACACCCGACACGACCACAGGACACCCATCAAAGCCAGGGACTCGCACCGGTTCCCCTTCCTGACGAAACTCCACACTGTTCTGGGATTCGCCCCTCCCCCACAAACGTCTTTTCTGCTCCCACATTCCATCCGGGACACAGCGTAGCACTTAGTCCCGTCCTCAGTCTCCCCAGCTGCTCCGTCTTCCCTGGCTCCCACGACCTCGACACTTTTGAAGAGCACTGGCTGCTTGATCTTGTAGCGTGTCCCTCGGCTTGGGCTTGTCTGGTGTTTTCTCATGATCAGCCTGAGGCAATGGCTATTGGGAAGAAATGGAGGCGAAGCGCCTTCTCGCCCCAACATTGTGGGAAACGAGACCCCTGTGCCGTCACTGGTCACGCTGACCTTCACCACTTGGTTACGTGCTGCCTGCCAGGTTTCTCCGCTACAAAAAGGTCAGGCTCTAGTAGCTCGAAGCAAATCACTAATCCCACCCACCGGCAAGTCCTGGGAGTTAGGCGCCACCTCCTGGAGGGGGCGGGTGAATAAAAAATCGTGGACCTTGCTGAGCCCACCATAAAATTCACGTGCATTTTGAGGGACATGTTTGGGGGCAGCAAGAATATCCTGTTTCTCCTTAAAGTCCCGCCCATTCATCGCAGCAGCGCCTGCCCGGCGGCGTCACTCAAATCCTAAGGACGATTTTCTCTTTCCCTCCTTCCTTCCACGTTAATAATCTGGAATTCTTCTGCAGGGAAGACGCGGCCCGTAGTCCCAGGTATTTATTTACTCATCTCTTCGCACCGGGGTGGACTCGGGAAATTTGTTTTGCCTCCGTTAGAACCCAGCACCGCGGGATTTCTGTGGCTCCGATTCTTCCGGCCTCTGGACTCAGGCCCCATCTGGGCTGGGTTTTGTTTTTGTTTTTTTGTTTTTCTTGGTTGTTTTTAGACCTGTTTTTGTTTTTAAGCACTTTTTTTAAAAAAAAAATCTGTTTTCCTTTTCTGGCGCAACAGAACACGCGAGTTCATCTGCCTTTCCCCACTCCAGCCCCCGGGTCAGCCATTTCTCCCAGGAGCCCTGAGAGGCAATGAACAAACAGAGTCCTGGTCTGCAGCCCGGGGCCCGTCTGAGCCGCCCGGACAGCAGAACCTGATTCATAAGAAGCGGCTGCTGCCCCAACGCCCCGCAGGCTCCGCAGGACACACGTGGGCAGGGCTCCCATCTCTCAAATGGGCGGCAGCTCCGAGTGAGGACCTGCCCAGGATGCGGGGTGGGGGGCAGCGCCGTGGGAGAACCAGTGGGGTCTGGTTCCCTGACTCCATGCTGCCTCCTCACTTGAGGGGTCTCGGGGGGCGGGAGATGAAGCAGGGAGTCCAGTCCCCACCCCAGAGCCCACAGGCCATGGGTGGACGAGGCTATGGGCAGAGTCAAAGCCAGGGCATGCCACTCAGCTTTGGCACTGGCTTCTTCCTGAACCAATACGGGCCCAGCGTGGACGCCCGGAGTAGACAGTCCGCAATGTCAGGCTGTGCCAGACACTTCACACACAGGGCCCCGGGCAGAGAAGCAGGGCCCCGGGCAGACCCTGTGCTGGCTGCAAAGGGTTTCAGAGTTCGGAGCCAGAGCCAGGTACACAGCGTGTGCCTGAGGACGGAAACCACGTCTGTGGGTCAGCCCCACTGCGGAGCTCGGAGCCCCAGACACACGAAGGAGGAAACTTTCCGAAGTCCTTCTGCCTAGTTGGGCTTTAAATGCGCATGTGCACCATGATGGGATGGCAGAGAGGTGGACCTCAGCTCAGCAGGAGCTCCGTGGAGCAGGGCACAGAGAAGGATTCCGAGGTCACGACAGGGCTCATGATAAACACTGCTGTGCCCATTAGTGTGCCCGCCCTGGTGGGAGATGATGCGGGGTGGGTCTGGTGGTAATGTTCCATTAGTGATGCCTGCCCTGGTGTGGGATGGGAGGGTGTGGCAGTGCTCCATTAGTGATGTCTGCCCTGGATGTGGGACGGGAGGGTTATGGGACGGGTGTCATATATTTGCTGTCCCTGGATTAGATGATCTCTCCTATCCTTTTCAGCGATTTCTTTTCCGGATTCTGAACTAGAAAAATAAAGATGTATTTTCAAGGCTGTGAACCATCGGTGGTGCTGGGCCACAGCATAACAGAGTAATAAAACCTGCAGATGACTTCCTAGATGGCAGAGCCATGAGCTCCAGGAAGGTGCCAGGAGAGGGGGTGCCTAAGTCTGCGAGGATCCTGCCCCCTGCTCCTCCCACCACCATAAGCCTGAGGCCACTTCTCACAGGCTCATTGCCAGATGGGCTCACCCACCTGTCACACTGGCTGCCTTCCACGTTCTCTTTGCAGGGGCAGCGCCCACTGCGGGGGTCGCAGGCGCCCAGGCTGCCGGCGGGATGGCAGGTGCAGGGTCTGCCAAGGAGACAGGACGTGGGGAAAGGTGAGCGACTCCAGAAGAGGAACAGCCCGTCCTCCTGGGAAGGAACCCTCCACCCTCCCCACTCCTGAGAGGACAGGGGGCAGACGGGCCCACGAGCCTGCAGCCCCCGGTTCACTGCTCCCCCCTCGCCAAGGACGTGACCATCCGCTCACCTGAACAGCAATCCATCTGCCGACCCACCACTCATCCGTCCATCCATCCATCCATCCACTCACTCGTCCATCTGTGCATCCTTCCATCCACCTGTCCACGTACCCTCCCACCCACCTAGTCACTCACCCATCCATGCACCATCCATCCAACCGTCCATCCAGTCCAAATGCCCCGCCATGTGCCCCTGCTGGGCCGCCCACACCCACGGCGTGGCCACCTCACCTGCAGCCTCCCTCGCTGAGTGAGTGGAATCTGGGCAGGCAGCGGTCACACTTCCAGCCCGTCACGGTGGCCTTGCAGGAGCAGGTGCCCGAGTCGTCACACTGTAGGCGCAGGGAGCCTGGGGGTGGGATGAGGGGAGGGCACAGGGCATCAGGGGCTGGAATGGGGCAAGTCTAGCGGCTGGGGCAGCAGGGCCCACTCACCTGCCGGGTGGCAGTCGCACGGCTGGCAGGGCATCCAGGGCTTCCAGCGGTAGAAGTTCTCCTGGCAGAGCTGGCAGTGTGGCCCGGCCGTGTGGTCGCGGCAGTGGAGGCAGCGCCCGCCGTGGCCCGTGCTGCGGAAGAGCTGCTGGTCGAACACGCACTGCTCGGAGTGGCCGCTGCAGTTGCAAGCTGTGGGCAGGAGGTGGGGGTGTCAGCGGCCGTGGCATGTGGCAGGACGGGAGTCCGTGCCAATCAGCCTCCTTCTGTGGAATGAGCAGGCAGCTCGGGGAAGGTCAGAGATGGAGTTCAGGCCCGGCTTGATCAAGGATATGGAGACCAATTGATCGATCTTTCAAAACAGGGTACTTTTATGAGCAGAGGGGGCACCATTAATAAATATCCCAAAACACAGGGCCCTCTGAGGCAATCGAGGAGGGACAGTCACCTGGGCATGTATCAGACAGACCCCCTCAGAGCGGCAGTGTGGCTCACTCCAGGATCTCTTGTGGGTCTGTGTAACCTGGTCCCCAGTGATCATGAAAAAACTCAGAAGCATGAAAATCCACGTCACCCTTCAGTCACTCATTGATTCATTTAAAACAACCTACGTGCTAAGGATTGGCTCTGTGATGACTCTTGTGGTGAGCAGGGCAGGGGGGGGGAGCCAGTGAGCAGTACGGTCCCGGCTCCTGCGTGCACACTGCACACTGACAGCGGCCAGATGCAGCAACCCGTGCACACCCTGCAGGGGGCGGGCGCTGGGAGCTGAGGAGGGGCCCTACAGCTGTCCTGGGGACTGGGGCAAGCCTTCTCGGAGGGAGTCACAGCTACAGGGGCATCTGAGGGGTGAGCAGGAAGGAGCTGGCCACTGCAGGAGGGGGCGGGAGGGAGGGGAGAGTCCCAGGCAGGAGGTGAGAGCAGAGATAAACTGTGGGACCAGAGAAGAAGATTCACCCAGCGTGTGCGGGGGGGGGTGGGGGGGGCGTGTCCTGTGATGGGCAGGGAGGGGGGTGCGGACGCTGTGCAGTGTGACCGGACAGGGAGGGGTGCAGGGCCAGCCCAGAGGGTTAGCGGTCGGCTTGACCCGGAGGCTGGGCAGTGAACTCCTCCTTGGGGTGAGGGGCTGGGGGGGTTAAGAGGGGGATGCAATCACACTTGCACTTTCAAGAGCCCCCAGGGCCGCAGGCAGGGAGGGCCGGAGGGAAGCCGGGCCAGCAGGGAAGAGGGGGCTTGGGCGCCCAGGGAGGGGTGATGGGGCCCTGGCTGCAGAGCAGGACACAGATGGGCTGGAGGGATGCGGACCAGGCTGGATTCAGGGCTCAGGGGCTGCTGGGACCGGGGGTGGCGGGGGGTCAGGCACGAAGCCCCCGTTTCCGGGCTGGTGACTGGGAGGACAAAGATGTGACCACGGGGTGAGGATGTGGCCAGAGCAGCATCTGGCCTTCTGTGCCCTCACCATGGAGACGGCTCCAGGCTCGGAACGAGTGAGCCAGTCAGCACGGCTTCCTTGGCTGTGGGAGGACTCCCTGGTGGAGGCAGGCCAGCGAGGGCAGCAGGAACCCATTAGGGTCCCGGCACCCTGTCCCACGGAGCAGGCTGTGCCCGCCCTGTCCCAGCTCCAGCAGCCAGTGACCCAACTCCAAGAGGACAGAGGACCCAGGGCCCAAACTCCCACCAGCGGCGGCTAAGCCCGCTGGGAGCCAGTGCTGCTGACACCTGCTATGCACCAGAGCCTGAAACACGCAGGTGACGATCGGGGAGACAGGCTGGGGCACCAGGCTGGGAGGAAGGTGGTGGGTCCCCCCACCCACCCCGTGCGTGCGCAGCCCTGTGTCCCTGGAGAAGGGCTGACGGCCCCGTCCTCTCCACATGTGGTCCAAGCCACATCACAGGGGCGGGAACATGGCAGGGCCGCCGGGGGCTGTGGGACAGGCTGGGACCGGGGTGGCCTGGCTTTCATTAGCAGCTGCGGTTGCAGCAGTTGAAACAAAGGAACAAGTTGGGGGACCTTCCCCGCCCTCCCACAACAGACACCTCCACTGAGGGGGACTTGGTCGGGGGGAGCTGCTGTGGGGGGAACACTGACAATGCCAGGCCCACCTCCTGCCACCTTCGGCGCCTCCTCACCCCTGCAGCGGCGCGGGGGCTGAGTCCCAGCTGCCACAGGCCCACCCAGGAGCAGCCCCACAGCGGGTCCCGGGGAGTTTGTTTCCCGGCCTGCACCCCGGGCCCCGGAGTCCCAGGTCACTCACGCAGACACTCGTTGGCGGCCTCCGCTGTGCCCCGCGCCCACGGGCGGTCCTGGAAGAAGGGCAGGCAGCGCTCACAGTCCGCGCCCGTGGTGTTGTGCTGGCATCGGCAGACCAGCCGGCCCTCCGCGTCGGGGCCACACTCGCTGGCGTGTCCGTTACACTTGCACCTGGGAAAGAACGTGGAGGACGGGGGCTCAGAACCCAGAGGGCACCGGCTCGGGGTGGCCCCACGGGGTCGGCAGAGGAGGGGTTAATCACCGAAGCCTGCACTCCGGTGGGCCCACTGCTACGGCTCAGAGATGAGTTTTATTGAACTCCTACTATGTGCCCGAGACAACAGAAACAGACAAGCGTTTCTGAGCTCTGTTGACATTTAATCCCATTGCACGTCACAAGCTCTAGCCCATTGTACAGATGGAGGAACTGAGGCACAGAGAGGTTGCCCGAGGCCGCCAGTCAGTATTGGCAACTTTTGTGAGGCTGCCTCTGCAGGCTTCTGCCCAGGAGGAGCCCCCAGGGGCCGGGAGACCCAGGAAGAAGCCTCTGACTCTGGGGTTGAGGTGGGCCAGCTCACAGGGCAGTGAGGGGTGGGAGGCGCCTCCTGCCCTTCTCCTTGGACTCTGCCCAATGAGAAAGAGGCTGCTCCTTGCAGAGGACACCCCGCCCCCAACTCATCTCAAGTCCCCAGTGAGTCCATGCCTTGGAGGGCAGCCCTGGCCCTTGTACCACCTCCCCCTCCCCCTCCACTTCACTCCCCCCAGGTCAGGAGACGGCTGGAGCTGGGCAGGCACAGAGAGGTGCTCTGGGGGCCATACCCATGGGGCTGTCCCGAGCGGCCAAACCAAGCTACTTAGAGGACGGCCATGGCGTCCAGCTCCCAGCCTTCCGCTGCGCCGCTCCCGACCCAGGTCTCCCTGGAGCCCCGCTGCTGTGGCGGGAGGGACCGTAACTATCCCCATTTCACAGATGGGCAAATGGAGGCTCAGGCCATGAAGTGACGGATGCTAGCGGCAGAGTTAGAATCTGAACCCGGCTCTCCTACTTTGCACAGACCCCGAGTTCCTGGCCAGCTCTCTCTCGAGCCACTGTGGCTCCCCATAAACTGTGTCCCCCACTCCGCCCCCCGAGGGCGTTGAAGCAGCCTGACCATGGCCAGCGCTCACAGCGCTGTCTCTGCTTCGGGGACACAGGGCTTGGGAAGGGCGCAGGGCACAGCTTCCTCACCAGGCCTCCCTGGGAGCCCAGGGTGGGCAGGTAACACCCAGGGTTTCTGGCGGAGGTGAGGGGGCACCAGGCAGTGTTGGGACAAGAGACCACCCGTGTTCCCAAGAGGTTGCTGCGAACACCTCCCTTCCCCATGAGGCCCTGTGACCCGGAGGGAAGCAGTGAAATTTGTGTAGGCCACTGTGGGCGGACACAGGCCGCTGGGCCACCTGCGCCCCGCCAGCTGCAGGCCTGGGGGTGGTCCGGCTCTGGCAGCTGGGGCCCAGATGTTCTCTGGGGCCAAGCCCCTGACAGCAGGCGCTGGAGCCCACTCCACCCGCCACCCTTGGAGAACACCTCCTCCGGGTTTGACCTGAGTCAATGTGGGGGTGGCAGGGAAAGGGAGCAGAGAGGCCCTCTCAGACACCCCCATTTCCCCTTTATTCCCAGGCCCCAGCCTTTCCTGAAAGGCGCTGACACATTGAGTGCAGACAGCTGGACCCCATGTCCTTCCCAGACTCTCCGCCTCTCCAAGGCCCCCCAAGCGTCCCTGAACCGCGGGAGCCCCCTGCTCCCTGCCCCCCAGGCCATCACTCCCCCGTCGAGCTGACTTCCCGTCCTAAATAGCTTTCGGACCCACACGCTTTCCCCGCCCTAACGCCATCTCCCACGGCCGCCACCTAATATTCCGGCCGTTTCTCTCTCTTCTTCCCCCCACAGTGGCCAAATGTTGGAGCATTTTAAAAATCCAGCCCTGCCCGGCCAGCTCAGTGGCTGAGCATCGATCTATGAACCAGGAGGTCACGGTTCAATTCCCAGTCAGCGCACATGCCAGGGTGGCAGGCTTGATCCCCAGTGTGGGGCATGCAGGAGGCAGCTGATCAATGATTCTCTCTCATCATTGGTGTTTCTATCTCTCTCTCCCTCTCCCTTCCTCTCTGAAATCAATAAAAATATACAGTAAAAACACACACCCAAACCCCACACAGCTCCCCTCTGACTGTACCCAGGGCCCTGAGAACCTCCATTCCAGCCTCAGGGCCTTCTCCTGGGTCCTCAAGTCCCACCAGGTCTCGCACAGGGTGGCCCTCGGCTGGAATGCTCCCCTCCTCCAGCCTTGGCGGGTCCCCTGACTGCGCACACCCTGTCCTGGCCGCGCACAGCCTGTCCTGGCCGCGCACACCCTGTCCTGGCCTCCCGTCCTTGTCGTCCTGGGACAGGCTGCCGCCAGATTACTGAACCTGGAGCAGGAACCCATCCGTCTTCCTCGCTACTTTCCCAGGAGGAACCCGACGAGCGTTTATGCTGAAGATCTCTCATGCCTCCCCTGCTCCTCCGCCCGCCTTGCACACCCGGTCCCGGGCGGCCATGTGTGCGACCGCCTGGATGTCAGTGCCTGTTCCTGGGGAGGGGAGATGCTTACACAAACTAGCGCTGCTGCGGAGGACTGCGGACCAGGACCAGGCCAACCGCACAGCCTAACGCCCCGCAGGAGAAAGGCGCCCAGCGTGGTGACCCTTCCGAGGCGCTGGGCTGGCCATTGGGCTTGGGAGCAGCCTGAACTGAGGTGCCTCAAAGCCGCATCAAACAGTGCGGAGCCCGGCCATGCCCAGCCCCCGGGAGCGCTGGGAGGCAGGGGGTGGACGGGCCCGCTGCTTATAAAATCAGGGCGCAGGAAGGAAGAAAAGCTTTGAAAGCTCCGCATTCCGTGCTGCTCCTGGTCGCCACCCACCAGCCACACGCGCAACACAGGCGCTCAGTCCGGCTGCAATGTGAGCGCATGTCAGCCGGGACCTCGGACCCTCGCTGTGTGCTGTGAAAATGCCACTTGATGGCAGGAATAAAAGTACCTGCGAGAGGGAAGGAGGAAGGAGGGGGAAGGGCCTTCGAGGCAGAGGGAACGGTGGTGCCCAGGCCAGCATGTCCCTCGCGTGGTGGTGGACGCAGCCGATGGGAGAAGCTGCAGGAGGTGGGCTGGGAGGCGGGGAGCAGCCAGGCGGCTTCGAATGCCGGGCCCAGGGGACCAGGATCCACTCCCTGTCTCTCCCGTGGGCACCAGAGTGGCTTCTTCACCCTCCCCCCACGTGGGCGACACCACGCGGCAGCCACCCTGCCACTTGCTCCGCCTTCACCTACCTGCCGCCCACCGAGAAGTCGGACACGGCGTAGTAGTAGGACTGCAGCACCTTGGGGTCCTTGAAGATGTCATCCCCAAACGTGTTGAGCCGGTCGAGCGAGATGAGGAGCTCGGTGCTGGTGACCCACTCCTGGGGGGGCGGGGCACAGGGAAAGGGCTGCCGTCAGCCGGGAGGCCCAGCTGGCCTCTCCATGGGTCTCCAGGGACACACGGACAGGCCACGCTCAGACGCATTCCAAGGACACTGCAGAAGTCAGGAGCCTGCGTGTCGGGCTCCTGCCAACCCGGGTGCCAGGCCACTGCCTGGCTGTGCAACTTTGGGGAAGTTGCTCGAAGTCCCGGAACATCCCTGTCCCCATCTGTGACATGGGCCAGCACAGCGCCGGGCCCACGAGGGACTTGGGAGGATGGCCGATGTCAGCAGCGGGGCGTGGGGTCTGGTCACCTGACTCCTCCCAGTGGCTCCTGCACCCCATTCTAGAGGTCAGCTGGGAGAGCATATACCGGCGCCCTTCTCTCCTGCTCAGTGAGGCCTGGCGGGGGGCAGGCCCTCGGTTTATAGGTGCATCACATGCCAAAGATCAGTGGTTGAGCTTCAACCTATGAACCAGGAGGTCAGGGTTCAATTCCCAGTCAGGGCACATGCCCGGGTTGCGGGCTCCATCCCAGTGTGGGGCGTGCAGGAGGCAGCCGATCAATGATTCTCTCTCATCATTGATGTCTTTATCTTTCTCTCTCCCTTCTTCTCTGAAATCAATAAAAACATATATATTTTTTAAAAGATCAGGCTTCCACAGACAAGTCACCTGTCCCAGGCGATGTCTGTCCCTACAGAACCCCCACCCCCACCCCCAGGAGCAGGGGCTGGGGGCCCCTTTACTCGCTGCAGCCCCAGCCCCGGCTCTGCCCACGCAGCGAGCACTCCGTCAACACGGAATGAGCGCTTCCCCCGGAAGAGCTGGTGGGAGAGAACCACGTGAAGGCTGACATTTTCATCCGCCTGCTGTTTGTGACAATCGGTCGCTGCGGCTGGATTTTAATTAGCATTTTAATTCAGCGCAGGAGCTCCTGGTGCAGCAGCCAGGCCGTTAGCACAGAAAAGGAGCTCCTGGCAGGGCCTGTCGCCTCGCCCCAGCAGGGCTCAGGCCAGCCGGCCTCTGCGGCTCCCTGAGCTCAGCGACCCGCGAGCCCGCCGCCTGGGACCCAGGGCCGCTGCCCAGGATGCTTCAGCGGGGAGGGGGGGCCCAGCCCCGGGAAGCTCAGCGGGCACCTCAGAGCGTTTGTACGTCCCCATCTCCCGAATCACTTCTCAACGTCCCTGTGCATCCAGGGATCTGGTTAGAAGGTGCCTCCCCGGGGATGCTGGCTCGGGGCCGCCCAGGAGCCTTGTGAGTAGGAACTGTCACTGAAGCAGGAGAGTAAGAAGCTGGGAAATTCCTGGGCAAGTGGAACGGGGAAACGGAGACGAGATAAGTAAACGAGGCCAAACAATCTGAACAACGCACAGCCGGCTTGTGAAGCTCAAGACCTTATCTTCCCCAACCAAGGACACTCGAGAGCAAATGGTTTACACCTCCCCTCTGAGCAGGGAGCACAGAGCTTCGTCACCCTGGTCCAGCCGTGGGCAAACTACGGCCCGCGGGCCGGATCCGGCCCGTTTGAAATGAATAAAACTAAAAAAAAAAAGACCGTACCCTTTTATGTAATGATGTTTACTTTGAATTTATATTAGTTCACACAAACACTCCATCCATGCTTTTGTTCCGGCCCTCCGGTCCAGTTTAAGAACCCATTGTGGCCCTCGAGTCAAAAAGTTTGCCCCCCCTGCCCTGGTCGGAGCTAGAGAACAGAGACCCAGTTAAGGCCACTGGCGATGGCCAAACCCAAGGATGGATGAAGTTGGGGAACAAGTAACAAAACCCCGTTAGAGCCGGACGGACCCAGATACAGCGCAGCAGAAAGCCGACCAGGGACCCATCCCACACGCCCCTCCACGCTCATGCTGGTGCATCGGCGGATTAAAAACGCACCTGGAAAGCTGATGAGTATTCTGCTGAAACCTCCCCCTGAGATTCTCACTCACAGAAGAGAGAGAAAAACCTTCAAGACAAAGGCTACCAGCTCCGGCGTGCTCTAGAGTAGCGGTCGCCATCCCGTGGTCCGCGGGTCCGAAAGGCTGGCGACCACTGCTCTAGAGCAGGGGTCCTCAAACTACGGCCCGCGGGCCACATGCGGCCCGCCGAAAACATTTATCCGGCCCGCCGGGTGTTTTTGCCGCCGCTGTGTGCATAGGAATTTGTTCATCGTTTTTTTTAAACTATAGTCCGGCCCTCCAACGGTCTGAGGGACAGTGAACTGGCCCCCTGTTTAAAAAGTTTGAGGACCCCTGCTCTAGAGCACGCCCATGCCTTTTCTCGGGCCTGAACTTTTTCGCTCCTTCTCCTAAACGCCAAGGGTCCCCACGAGACTAGCAACCAGGGGGGCAGCGGGCAGCACAACTCATCCCCGGCTAAACCCCGATCCTGCCTCCAAGATCCCCTTTCTCTCTGACTGCCCAGTGGCTGACAGCAGCCCGTCCTGGCTCACTTCTTTCCTGTGACATTTCTCGGGAGCCAAAGCAGAGCCCCCGTAGGCTCTCCTGCTGCCTCCTCTGCTCTAAGCCCTTCCTTTGTGTCACTGTCTCCAGCTTTAATAAACGCTCTCTCAGCACCACAGGACTTGTGCCGTGAGATCTTTCCTGCACAAAGTCAAGGATCCCCACACAATGCTGGCTGGCCCATGGCAGACCCCGCTCTGGGCCCCGTCCCCTTTCCAGTGACATTAGTCCCCCCATTTTACAGGTGAGGAGACTGAGGCTCAGAGAGGGTAAGTGCTCTGCTCCAAGCTGCACAGCAGAATTTGGGTTTGGGTCCCAGCTTTAACCACGAGGCGGCCTGTCTTCTTGCATCTACCCCAACGCCCTCATCACACCAGAGGGCTAGAGGGCAATGACCTGTCCCCCTCGCCCACTGCCCCCCCCCCACCCCCGTCTCCAGCCGCACAACCCTCCTCTGGGTTCCTGCCCTGGCTTGTGGCCCATGGCCTGCTCCCTCAGGCTGCTAAGATAACAGGAACCGTGTCCAAATCTCCCCGAGACCCGGGGGCAGGAGCTGGGAGAGGATTTGCTCCCTCAGCCCAACCATATGGGGCCCTCCCTGAGGCCTCCAGGGTCATTTAGGGCAAAACTGGAGCCCCCAGGGACACAGGCAACGGGCTTTTCCAACTTCCAATCACTTCAGCCAAAACTGTGAGTGGGGACGGGGTTGGAGTGGGGACTCGGTGACTCTGCACAGACCCCGGTCCGGAGTGCGGGGTGGGGGAGGTCAAGAACGGTGAGCGACGGTGACTTTTAGCTTCAAAGCGTGAATGAGCACCCCTATGTGCCAAGCCCCGTGCCGGCCGCTTCATAGCTGACTGTCCGATGCGGCAGCCACGGCCACAGAGGCGATTTAAGTCAAAATTCATGAAAATGAAACAAAATTCAAAATCCCGTTTCTCACATGTGCGAGTCACACCGCAGTGTTCTGCGGACGGAGGCCCGTGGCCGCCCCTGTGGACGGTCGGCAGACCCACTCCCCGGGCGGCAGAGAGCTCTGCTGGAGGCGCCGCCGTAGAGCACCGCCGGGGCTCCGGTCCACAGCTCATGCTCTTCCCACACTCTCTCTTTCACCCTCGGAAAAGCCCTGGGGACACACGGGCGGGTAGCATTGTGGGGTCACAGAGGGAGGAAGCGAGGCCCTGAGCCGGGGTCCTGGAAGGAGCCAGCACACTCAGGTTCTGGTCTGGGCCTCCCACCCCTCCAGCCCCTGGGCTACCCCCTCCCCTCCCCAGGCCTCAGTTTCCCCACCCCCACAGGAAGGGGTCAGTGAGGTGGTGGTGGTCCCCCGGCTCCCGGGAGCCACAGGCTCTGACACGGGGGGCCACGAAGGGACATCTGTCTGCCTGTGCGCCCTCTTCTACCAAGTTCGTCATCAGGTGCCCACGGAAGGTCTGGACACAACAAAGGCTCCTGTTGTTTAAAATCTGAAAACCAGCCCGGCCGGCGGGGCCCAGTGGTTGAGCGTTAAGCTATGAACCAGGAGGTCAGGGTTCGATTCCCGGTCAGGGCACATGCCTGGGTTGCGGGCTTGATCCCTGATATGGGTCGTGCAGGAGGCAGCTGATCAATGATTCTCTCTCATCACTGATGTTTCTCTTTCCCTCTCCCTTCCTCTCTGAAATCAATAAAAATATATTTTAATAAAAATAAATAAATAAAATCTGAAAACCCTGGGATCTCATGGGTCTCCCTGTGTCCTGCCGCTTTAGACTTTCCTGTGGTCCCTGGACGCCGTGTCCCACCCGCAGCCCAGCCCCAACCCTCCGACCCCTGCCCACCCCCCACCCTCGCCCCCAGCCTCCCAGCCCCGCTCCTCTCCCACCTGCAGCGCGGGGCTCTCCTCGAAGTTGTAGGCGCTGGGCCGGCCCTCCAGGGTGGAGAAGGCCACGTTGCCCCCGCTCAGGGGGGAGATGTCGCTGAACTCGGAGGTGCAGAAGGCCACGCGCTCGTCCTGGCCGGGCCGCAGGTAGTGGCCCTCGGGCCGGCCGTAGGTCTTCCCGCAGGAGGCGCTGTAGAACTGGTAGGGCTCCCAGGGGCCGCCCGCACGGCTGCGCTTGTAGATGGCGAAGCTCTCGGGGCGGCTGGTGTGGAACTTGAGGCGCACGTAGGTGATCTCGTAAGCTTTGCCTGCGGCGGAAGACACCCCCACCTTAACTCGGTCCTCCCAGGGCCGCTCCATCCCTCCCACGTCTGCAGCTTCACCCCGGCCCATTGCAGTCCGGCTTCTCTGAGCCTCGACACCAGCCACTCCTGCAAAGCACCTCCACCAAGCACCCCCTCGGCCCAGCCAGGGACCCCGCCTTGCTTCCCTCCTGGGCCACTGACCACTCCCGCCCCCACCAGGAGTTCCATACAGTAGGGTAGTGTTTGGGAATAAGAAGGAATGAAACACAGATGCTCCTCCACTTACGATGGGGTGACGTCCAGATAAACTCATCGCAAGTCAAAAATACTGTAAGTCAAAAATGCATTTACGCCCGGCCAGTGTGGCTCAGTGGTTGAGCACCGACCTCTGAATCAGGAGGTCACAGTTCGATTCCCGGTCAGGGCACATGCCCGGGTTGTGGGCTCCATCCCCTGTGTGGGGCATGCAGGAGACAGCCAATCAATGATTCTCTCTCATCATTGATGTTTCTATCTCCTTCTCCCTCTCCCTTCCTCTCTGAAATCAATAGAAATATACTTTTAAAAAATGAAAGACCATATGATTCAGCAATTCCACTTCTGGGTCTCCATCCAAAAGAACGGAGGCTGTTACATATTTTTATAAATTGGACCTCACATCCATTAGGATGGTTATAATTTTATTTTAAAAAGGTAGTAAGTGTTGGTGAGGATGTGGAAAAATTCGAACTGTTGGTGGGAATGTGAAATGGTATATTTGCAAAGAAAAAGTCTGGTAGTTTCTCAAACATTTTAAAATAGAAAGACTATATGATCCAGCAATCCCACTGCTGGGTCTCCATCCAAAAGAAGGGAGGCCGGGTCCTGAAGAGCTACGCGCACACCCACGCGCACAGCAGCATCGCTCACACGCACAACCCCAGTGTCCGCCAACAGAGGACGGACACGCGAAATGTGGTCCATCCACACCGCGGGCTTTAAAAAGCAAGGCAACGCCGACACCTGCTTCCACAGGATCGAGCCCTGAGGACAAGACGCCGAGGGAAGTCAGCCAGTCACCGAAAGCCACACCCCACCCGTGTACCCGAGGTCCCCACAGGAGGCAAACTCACAGAGACAGAGGGAGCCGGTGGGTGCCAGGGGCTGGGGGGGGGGCACAGGAGTCAGTGTTTGGAGGGGACAGAGCCTCAGCTTGGGGAGATGAGAAAGTTCTGCGGACGGACGGACGGATGGACGGACGGCGGTGACTGCACAGCCATGTGAACGCTCCTTTCTTTTCTGTGTTTTTGTTTGTTTGCTTTTTGTTAATACTCACCCAAGGATGTTTTCCCATTGATTTTTAGAGAGAGTGCAAGGGAGAGACAGAAAGAGAGAAACATCGATGTGAGAGAGACACATGGACTGGTTGCCTCCCACGCGTGCCCTGACCAGGGCTAGGGATGTGCCTGCAACGGAGATACGTGCCCTTGACTGGAATTGAACCCGGGACCCTTCAGTCCTCCGGCCAACACTCTATCCACTGGGCCAAACCAGCTGGGACTGAATGCTCTTTTCTTAATGGCACTCAACTGGGCACCTAAAATTGGCTAAGATGGCAAATTTCATGTTATACATGTTTTACCCCAATAAAAGAAAAACTTGAATATCTACATGTCTACCTATCTATATACCATATATACACTGAGTGACCAGATGATTATGACCACCCCATCAGTACAATGGAGTGAATTAGTTATGCAAATAATAATAATAATAAAACCTTGAGAGTATTTGCTTAGGAAGTTTTCAATATTCAGTATTTTTGGAAGTGTCCATGAAGTACTGATGGGGTGGTCATAATCATCTGGCCACTCAGTGTATATTCCAGCCCTTTGCAAATGCAGTTTGGTGACTCGGATGAAGAGCCATAACAATGTTCCTGGCCTTTGGCACCAGGATCCCCGCTCTGGGAGTTCGAACATGGAAAGGAACCTAAATGCAGGGACATGGTCGCCGAGGCGGTGGCTGTGAGGGGCGCTGGCACCACGAGGGCTCAGTAAGTTATGGAATCAACTCGGGGACGATGCAGCCACTGGGACGGCGGCCACTCGTCTCCAATGTGCAAAGCGTAAGTCAGACGCTGAAGGAAAAAAAGACACAAGACTCCCCTTCAGAACCATCTCATTATACTTAAACGCCCCTAAAAAGGGGGCAGAAAGAGAAACAGCAAACCGGAAGGCGTGCCTGTCCTCAGGGCAGAGTGGCGTCTTCCCTTAATTGTTCTGCATTTCCCCACTTTTCTCTCGTGAAGCTTGTTTTAATTAAAAAAACTGGAGAGAACACATTTTAAAAAAAATCTTTTTTAAGCGACCGGCTGGCCACGTTCGATGTTTTGCAAAGTTCCGTTGCGCGCAGCTTGGCACCGGAACCCCAGTCCCGGAAGACGCGGGCGCGGTGCCGGCGCCAAGGCCGGGCAGCTGGTGGCGGCTGCGGCTCCGGCTCCGCGGGGACCCAGGTGGGACTTGCCCCAGACGTGCGCTCACGCCCAGGGAAGGATTGGGGGGCAGGTCCGCCCGGCTCCCCAGTAAACATCTAACAGCCGGAGCCTCCCGCGGGGAGGGGAGCTGGAGCCGCCGGAAAGGTAGCTGGCAGCTAGACGCGTGATCGTGATCGGAAAAAGACAGTCACTGGGATTGCATGCAAACATCGGGCTGCTGGTCCTCCTCCTGCCCAGCCCGGAGGTGAGAGGAGGTGCCGGAACATCACAGAGACTCAGCCGGCACTTTTTGTTGCAAGAGTTCCTTAGAAGAACCAGAAAGCAACTTAATCCGCGCTTGGTGGTGAAAAGGTTTCTGCCAAAGGCAAGCTGAAGGCTGGGAAGGACCCCCCACCCCACCCCCCCACATACACCAAGGTCTTCTAAACAGCAACAAGCATTAAATTTACAGTTTCAACCCAGACCCTTACAAGCCCCAGGGGCTGACGGCGCTTCAGGGTGAGATTGATTCAGGTGTGTTCCCAGCAGGAAAGCTGGACCAAAACGGCCTCCCCAAATGTAAACGGGGGCCACACTGCGTGGCAGTGCACGGATCTGACAGACCCCCCAGCTGCCAGCATGCTGTTCCCTCTGCCCGGAATGCTGTTCCCTCCTCTCCGCACCTGGCTGGCTCCCACACATCCCTGCTCATCCCACTGGCTTAGCGAACCGACCACATGCCTAGCCTCTGCCTCCGCCAGGTGTAGAACGTCCTCCTCCCACGTACTTTCCTGGCTGATGGCTACTCATCCTTAAAGTGGGGGGTCTGGGTGCCCCACTGGGCTCCCCCAGCCACCCTAGGCTCCTGCACCCTGTTATGTAAACACTTGCCCATTTCTCCCACTAGTCTTTGACCCCCTTGGGACAGGGGCTGTGAATCCTTCCTGCTGAGCACGGCGCCTGGCACATAGTAGGTGCTCACTAAATGCCTGCCGAATGTGTGAGGAAGGACGAAGCACGAATTGTACTTTCAAGGAGTTTATGATCCAGTGACCACGTTGAGACAGGCAGGCCCAACAACATGGCTGACACGGCCACAAGTGTGTCTGCAAGCCCTGACCCCAAACAGCCAGCATTTAGTGAGCACCTACGATGTGCCAGGCACCTTGCTAAGGGCTTTCCGCACACTGCATCTTGACACGTCCCCAAACAGTCCCATCGTTGTGCACGTTTTACTAACGAGGGACTTGCCCAACATCACGCAGAAAACAGCTGAGTCTAGTCAATGACAGGCCCGCCTGGCCCCAAAGTCGCTTCTCTGAACCGGCGCTCTTCCGTCCAGGGCTCCGTGGATGCTCAGAGGAAA